AGTGAATGAACTAAATATTCATTCCCTGCCCCCCCCCCCTCCCCCTTTTTACTCTGTTTGGGCCTTATGATTAAATAATACATTTAGAAGATATTTCTCTGACTTGAATGCAATCTCTGAATTATTTATGTTTGGATAACCAGAATAAAATGTGAGATTTCGGTTAAGATTTGAAGTGGTTAATGGTGCAGGCATTGTTTTTTTTTTAGATTGGTTACTACATAATAACACAATGACTAACCGTAATAATAATCCCCAAACTTCCATTTGTGTTAATTTAAAATTCTGATATTTATGAATGTTGATAAGAGTTCTTGCTTTTTCTCAACTTATTTTGGCGGAAACGCGCAGGAAGACCTCAATGCTTATTTTTGTTGACAACAGATTTATGAATGAGTGTCATTACGAATATGTCGTACGTATCGCATTGTCACATGCCATGTTAAAATTCATAAAAATGTGACTGAGCAAATGACGACTGTATCAGCACAGATTTTCCTCGCGCTTTGGACTTTGAACCCTGGTTAACAAGCAGATCTGTTGCGAGTTCGTGCAGCGCTGTCACAATACATGCAATGCGCGCGTGTATTAGAAAACATAACATAACATTCCGCGCCTCTCACTCTGCGCTGGTTGCTATATGATCGCGTCATGTCATTGTTCGGTACAATTTATTTGGTCTTTTCGCTTATATTTTCGGCCGAATAATTTCGGTTGCCGAACATTCGGTGCATCCCTAAAAAAAAGTGTCTCAGACGGCTCCGGGGGGTGAACAAAGACCTCCTGTAGCGAATTGATGCGTTTTTGTAAGACAGATATCCATATTCAAAACGTAATAATCACTTTAATCTAGCTTGTGCCAACAGTTGTACACGGAAGCAGTTCCGGGCTGATGACATATGAGGTCAGCGTTGCGCATGTTTTCCACAGAATTACACTCTATGTGTAGCAGCACTTTACCTGAGGGAAATATAGGCTATATACGAAACAGCAGACAGGCTGATTGATTGAAAATTCAAATTAATTCTCTGTCAGCAGGGGGCACTTTTGGAGCGGCAGAAATGGCGGTTTCCCTGGTAATGGCTGTAATCAAAGCAGCGCTCCGCTCATAAACACTTCTTTATTGGGCATTATGGGAAAGATTAAATGAAAATGACATTGAAACTTTTCTAAAGACAGTTCCTTTTAAAGATACATTAATTTAAATACATAATTAATTATTAGTTTGCTACTCTGCACGCCTCCCCTGGCATGCTCTCACTTTGAAAACTCCTGAAGTAGACAGACTCCGCTTGCATTCATGTGATTTGTCCAGATGAGAGGTAATTCACGTAGTGCTCTCTCCTGGGTAGTGTGATTTATATAGTGCCATTACTAATCACCCAGACCCTGATGCTTTTATTCTGAGTACTGTGAGAAGTGCCAGTACGCACAAAAAAGCATTTAAGATTAAAATACAGAAGTGCCGGTACAGTGTACCGGTGAGTACCGGCCCACTTTGAGCACTGGCCATGCCCCAAAGACTTACTGTAGATTGATCTGGAAAAAGATTGACTGATCTGAGTGGACCACTCTGCTTAATGCTGCCTGGGAGGTTCAGTGTTTTCACATTTGTGGGGGATAAACCCACAAATGGCTTATTTACCGTACGCATGAAAAATAAACTCTGTCAAGAGAATGTATTCTGACATAAAAATTCTGCCAAATTTCACCATTTAAAGGGGTCAGATTATGTGATTTTTATTTTTCCTTTTCTTTGGTGTGTTATGTAGCTAACTGTGCATGTGTAAGATCTGCAGAGTTACAAAGCTCAAAGTCACCCACAAATGGATTTATTCTATCTAAAAAAGAAGGCTGATCCAGACCGGGCTAAAACGCCTCATTCAAACACCCCCCACATCTCTACGTCACGATGTGGAAATATTTGCATAATGCCGCTAGGGTTGGGCCGATAGACGATGCCATCGTCCATCGCCGATGGCTGACAGACATCACGATGTTGAGCCGGCATCATGATCTGTCCCAACTCAACCGTTTAACTCTAGGGGAGTTGGAAAATTAGTCTATTTAAAAAAATAGTGGAGTGTTCCTTTTAAAGCATGTCAACATATTCTTACACCAAATAATGATCTTTAAAATAGAATCATATGACCCCTTTAAGGCCCATTCACACTGTAAACAAAAAAATATAATGGTAACTGTATTAGCATCCACACTAACGGATCTTCAGCTTAACTGCAGTGTACCTTTTAAAGCTGGATGGATTTTAGCGTTCGTTATGTGACTTTTGTTATCTTAGAGTTTGAGTGATATATATATTTATTTATTTAAAAAAAAAAATTTTTTATGTGTGGCTATCTTGGAGTGAACAGGCAATAAGGTTAGAAAGAGGGTAGAAAATGGTCAGGTAACATCAAATTCTGAAATTTGCTGCCTAGATAGCTTGACTGAAATTATAAAAATGATTAATAATTAATTTGAATTAATTAAAGTAAAATTAGAATTGATTTTTAACATGAACATTTTATGCAGGTGTAATGTGGGTCTTCAAAAACATGCACCATTTATAAAATATACTTATATATATATATATATATATATATATATATATATATATATATAT